ATATATATATATATATATATATATATTTCCAAGAGCTGCAAAACTTATTAGACGTAGTATCACGCTTTTTGTATGTGTCACGTTGCGGCACTAATGTAATAACGATCCTGCATACACGTGCGAGTACAAGTTTCTTTTTCATACGTTTGCAAGTGAGTTTTCAAGCGAGGACACGATCCAATGGAAATAATGGATGCGATTCTTCGCTTTTAATAATTAGATACCTGCGCGTCATCCGAACGACGTTTCCTGTTCCCGTTCGATGTATTTGTTGGCGTATAATGGCATAAAAATGTCAGCGACGTCGGACGAAGAGATTTATATAACCTTCTCCACAGACGGATTCGTGAGAATTCGGTACATACGCTCGGTGACGAATCTAGGATTTTCATAATAGTTGCGCCCAACATTTTCTCCGTGGAAAAGAAAAAGCACTCCTGCACGTAATAATATACGTACGCTACGAAAGAAAATTCAAAGCGATAGGTTTCATGCGTGTATGATGCCATTGCCGCGCTTCCATCGGCCAGTGTGCCATTTTTCAACCTCCGTGTTGTTCGAATGACATCGTGAGGATTTTTTTCCTTTTCTTCTTTATGCGTGCAAACGAAATTTCTGTGACAGTTTCCTTTCGTGCTAAAGTATAAAAGATATGCACGCGCTAAACTACAAAAGATATCTGTACGATACGGAGGCAATGGAATAATGTGTAAACTGAAAGCAAACTTCACCGGGATCCATTGACACAGTCACAATGCTGTAGAATGTAAGATTCGAATGATACACGGTGTCTTTTGTAACACTCTGATTCGATGTTTTCCACTTGTTGTGCAAGGAACGAAGCACGCAAACTCGGGAAACATTTTTCTGTTATGTAAAATATTCTGAAATTTTTGTCGTCACCGTCGTCACTTTCAACTGTCAGAATTCCGTTGGTAAAATTTGACACCAGTCCGAAACCATACGTACAAATTATAAGATATTTAGTTGTAGTGTAGTTGACAAGATGACTTTGTCACTTGTTGAAAGAAATTACACGGAACGCTATGAAT